TGAGTGAGTGAGTGAGTGAGTGAGTGAGTGAGTGAGTGAGTGTGTGAGTGAGTGGGTGAGAGTGAGTGTGGGTGAGAGTGAGAGGGAGTGTGAGTGTGACTGAGAGTGGGAGAGTGAGTGAGTGTGAGTGTGAGCGCGAGTGTGAGTGAGAGTGAGAATGAGTGTGAGTGAGTGTGGGTGAGAGTGAGTACACTACATAGTGCAATCGATTCAACAGCCTGTTGCAGGTTCTTCGGAGTGGGTCTGACCCGAAGGATGTGTTCTGATGATCCAAAACTCCAACATCTGATATCTCACACATAGTCAGTTGGCACGTGACGGTCACAAAAAACAGTAAAGGTGGTGACATCTTCCGGGAGTGTTTCTCATGCAGCGAAACCAGCGTCGATAGAGGCCATAGAAAAGCTGGTATCCACATACCCGAGCGAGTGAGGACAGTGATATATACCTCAAAAACACAACAATCATAAGGAAAACAGGTATGCTTCGCCAAAGTCGAACATCCTGCATTCACATCATTCTGGTAGCATCCAACAAAAACCAGCATGTGCATGTGGCTACTGCGGGTGTCCATCATGTGGGTATTTTGTTCACCTGCAGGACTGGGTCCTCCCTCCACATCCTCCGCCCTCCGCCTAGCGTCCCAGACTGGGTCATCCCTTGAGGAGACCAAGACGTTCAGAGTGATCAGAAGGATTCCGCAAATATTTCCGACCTGGGAAAAGAAAGAAGAACATGAACGACCCACGCTTGGTCTGAGCTCCGAAAATGACGCTCCATGTTAAACTATCTATATAAGCTTTCCTACACTTATGTATATATATATATGCACAGAATATGTGTTACCTTCATCATGGAGCGAAGTTCGAGGGTGAATGTAGTAGTACATGACACTTGCTGACCTGTTTGCGTATAGGGTAACTTGGAGCTACCGCCCTCTGTACGACTCGAATTCCGCTCTGTGGACTTCTTCAGCCAGACCGGCGCTGGTGCAAGTTTGCCGGTTGGTCGCCAGGTTGGTCCCACAATTTGGGCTATATAAAGTACAATATAGTACAATCTCAAAGAGTCTGAAAAGCCATGAACTTACAGTAATTACTCTCCCTCGCATTCAACTCGGTGCCAACAGTGTTATTGATTCTGGGGAAGTCGAAACACAACGACCCTCTTCAGGGACGCGTCCCTGGAAAGTACCACTAGAAAGATCTAAAATGATAGCAATTTCATTGACAAACTCTTAGAAAAGAAGTGCTGAACTCTAAGTCAAGGCTCAATATTGCATATCCGGCGGCTTTTCGGTATGCAGTAGCTCACCTCACACGTTTGCGAGAATGATGCGGAGCCTCTCCACGCAACATCGGCCCGGAGCCTCTCCGCACCTGCCTCATGTCATCAGGGAAAACTGGCTCCTCACCTTTTGACACAGCTTGCACGGGGAGAAGCTTCCTTGAAGGAGGCAAACAAAACAGCAATATACAGCAATGAATGGATCAAATGAAGCATCCAAACTGTTACCGATGGACAAGCTTCAGCCACGGGCAGGCTTTAAATCACCCCATCTTCCAGTACTTCCAGTTCCAACCCACCAAGGCACTAAGAGGCCGGAGAAAATGGCCGCAGCAGCCACCATGACCTCACTGTGGAAAATCTTATGAGAACACACATATTTGAGCAAACACATGAGGGCACGCATGAAGAGCACAAGAAATAAGTGAGAACACGTACATGGAAGATAATGAGAGCTAATCTACAACCTCCTGTAAGTGCCGGCAGTTGACACAGTTTCTCTCTCCAAACGTTTGGTTTCCTTGCCTGTGCTGTTCGAACCGAACCGCATAAGCCCCCAAGTCACCCAGTTCAGTCCGGAAATTCTTGTATATTTATATATAGGTATCTCGTATCTGTGATTATCTGTATATAAGCGTTGGTGAGTTGATCATTTTGCAAAGGCTAGGGCCCTTCTGACCTATACTATTCAATCTATGAGGTGTCTCTGCAAATGCAAAACCCTAAGAGCCCTTCAACCCTCCATAACAGTAGCGGACCCTCCCTAGCAGGAGTACAAACTCATAAAACCCTTCCATTTGGGTCGAGCCCGGATTCTTAGACCATGAAACTACTATGGCCGCATAGCCTGACCATGTTGCTTTCAAGTTGATCACACCATGTTTACTTCGACATCGCCAATCGACAAACATCAAGAACAAACGTGCCCCAGTTTTTGCCGCCCAGGGACCTTCACTTTCCGACTAAACGTTGGGGTTCACCAAGTCCAGCAGGAGACGCAAAACACACATCTGCCTGCCACCCCAAATTACAAAAGGACCTCTAACTGATCCCGCGATCCCTGCCACGTGGCCGGCTGCACTAACTGGAAGAAGTTGAAGTTCAAGCTCTCTCCATAAGCACCTCTTGCAGAAACTGTGCAATCATGGGAGTGAGTAGAGCATGGTGCCAAACAAACACCCGGACCTCATGGTGCCATCAACCTCGCGTCGTTCCATTGGTTCGAGAGGAACTGGGCGCAAGGACCGAAGGAAATGCATTGGTTCAATGCAAACCTCAGGTTTAAATGGCCAGCACTATGGCCAGCTCTACAACGATTCTTGGGCTGGGCATGTAACTCTGATCCTTCGTTGAGCTACCGGACGACCGGAGTTTCAGACCTATGGACTCTGGACGGTCACATCTCGCAAACGGTGGCAGTCATTCACATGAAATACCCCCCCGCAAACTGAAGAATTGAATCTGAGAATTGACCTGTGGAAGACCATTTCCTCTACAACCCAGTGGTTTTGGGGTTCCATGTTAATCTGCAGGGGAGTATTCAACCTGACTAGCCACCTAGCGAGAGCAAGTCCACTTGGAATCCCTCGACCAAGTAATGCTCGCTGCGTTGGCTTCAAGTTAGATTAAAGGAACCAAGTATATATGTTGAGAGCAGCAATGCAAGTGATACAACTCCTGGCTCTAATCCCAAGGATCCCAAAGGCTTAGAAACTATGTTGCATTGCGCCCACGGTGCGGGCAAATCCAAGATTTGAGCCCAAGAGTCTTGATGAAAATATGAGAGGCTCCCAGTTGCTCCGCAACGGCCATAAAACATACTCCCTTTAATACAATCTTCTCATCCCAAGGCCAACTCGCAGTTTCTCGTCCAATCTTCGTCCAACCCTTGGAGTCCGTGCCATAGGTGTAGAGCAGCATGTTGAGAGGCGTCAGGCCACAGGACAGGACAGTGGAACAGGTGGTCATGGCAATGCTCAAGGCCAAATCCGCATTGCACACGGAGCACCACCTGAGATCTGTCGAGAGCAGGGTGAGATCTCTCGAGCCGGTGTTTCTTTCAGACAAGTTGCTGTCGACTTCATAGATGGAAAGAAGAAGCAAAGCGTAAAAGTGAAATGCGAACGGCCGAAGCAAACATGCCAACTCACAACACCTATCTCTAGACTCTAAAGATCTCTAGAGACTCTAAAGGAAAAAAACAGTCTTACATTGCCAGATCTGTGCCGTTGAATGTTTTCCCAAACAAGGATGTTTACAAGGATGAATCCATATGTAACTTTGATCTGGATGTGTCTGATAACTTACGTCCTTGCAAACGCTTTTCCAAGGGTGGTTCCCAACCTGGCATCTTGGTGCACTGTTGGTAGCGTATTGTAGTGTACCTCATTGCCTGGTAATTCCCAGTGCACATACTGACACTGACTTCTAGATCAAACAATCAATCTCCAAAGGTTCACAAGCCAAGGGTTTCACATGTTTTTTTGCTATATATACACCAATGCGATGCCCTCATTGGACTCTACCTATGCTTCACAAGCGATCCACCAACTCGTCGACTGTCCAAGTGGCCAGTTGCTATAAGCACCTCCTGGTGAGGAGGTCACCTGGTGACAGGTGACGCAGTGGAGTGAAGAAGTGACGCACGGGGGGTGCTGATTCGATCCACTCGCCTGGGGTCTAAAGGCCTCCCGAAATTGGCACTGGTATCATCTGATATCCTTGATTTCTGATCTAATTATATTGGAATTCCAAGCTCCTCGCCGGTAAACACATGCATGGTGACAAGTTGTTCTTCTCCTGACCCGACTCTGAAATCACGAACTGGTCGGGTCGATCACGTTGGCAAAATGGGAAGCCCCAAACCCGATAGAAGGACACGTGCATACTATGTCTATAAATCTCTATGTCTGCATGATATCGACTATATTCCATTTAACAAATAATGTATACATATATAATGGATATCTATTTCTCCTGCCAGATGTTTGGCAAAAAACAAGAACCTTCTAGGTCCGTGTTTGGGTCTTGGTAAAGCACTGGTAGTCACAACGGTTGATTTCGGAGGTAATTGGATTCAGTTTCAAGTATTTTCAAGTCCTCATTGTCCCGCATCAGCCCAATCGTCATCGAGTCCCCAGGCGGTGATGAGCATGATTCCGACCACCGGATCGAACTGAAAGGCCTCCGCCACAAGGATGACTCATAAGTCATAAGCCATCTTGAAGGAGAGGAGGGAGGAGGGACTCCATGCTCAGGTGAAAGAGACATGATGCCTGATATAATATGTGTTTTAATGACCCTAAGAATCCTTGGACCCTCCATAGCAGGGGTCGAGCCCTCCATAAGAGGGCTCAAAATCCATCAAACCCTCATGTTTGCGGGTCCAGATCCATTTTTGGAGATGAATTTGGTCGCTGCAAACTCATCAAAACCGATTCTGTTGAACATGGGCATGCTGCGAAAACCATCAAACAAAAAAACAACACATAAACGTGGCCAAGCAACACCATCTGGCATCATCTAGCGTGATATCTCATGGTACTGGGACGTGCTTAGAACATCTCCCCATTCTTTCCCCATAGGTCTTGGTCGCCTGAAGAAACAATTGAGAACTCAACCCACTGGTGAGCCGCCTTTCCACACTCGTTCCTCTTCTGCACGCCAAAGGTTTTCGCCCGCGACCAGGCCTTCCTACTAATTCTAGAAACAGCCAAAGCTGTCTGCCCAGCTGTTGATGGAAGGAACAAGTGGTCCAACATCGCCACCCGCACCCGCCCAATTCGCTGTGAAAAAGGAAACGCGGTCCATCGACCTCGCCTTGGCGGCGGAGAAACCCAAGCAAGGGAGGACGATGAACTGACATGCGACACCTGCGAGGGCTGGGATGTTGGGCATGGGGATTGTCTCTGGCATGTTGGGCTGGTAGAATGCACAAAATATCACCTAAAAGGGTTCTGCTCATTGGGCGATGATTGAAAGGCTCACGATCTTTTCTTAGGGGCGGTGTAGCAAGCAAATGTACAAGGCTACAATGTTACAACCTCAGCCACCCATTGGCGAAAGGACAGCTGGAGCAAGTCGGATACCTGCCTTTCACACCCTGAGCGACACCCGTGTGACCGTGTGACATTTTTTGCCTGGATGTTTCAAACACGGAAGGGGCAATCTGAGAGTCTGCCTAGGAATATCTTGGAATATTGGACTGGACTTAGTCCGTGGACTTATGGTAAAATGTAGTAAGACTGCTAACTGCTAACTTCTTCAACTAACTACAAACAAAAACACTTTTTCATTGAGTGCTCCCACTCCGCAAGAAAACCATAGAACACTTTTTGGGGGGCGCAAGCGCCTGGCTATCCTGCAGTGTTCTGCATGGGGCCCGTCATCTCTCCACTATGGGTTCCCGGGCCAAAGGCGATGCTGGTCTTCTGGCGAAACCTGGGAAGCACGGCTCCATGTCGGTCGGTGATGTTGTTTGAACAACACTAGGACATGGCGACCTGGCAAGGGATGAACACCCCTTGCCATGCAACGCATGAACAAATCCTATATAGTTGAGGGGCCAAAGGTGGGGCTTCGCTTGTACCCACTTGGAAGACACACATGGTGGGGGTGACCGTGTTTTGGCCTCAGAGCATAGTAGCCAACAAACAAACACAAAATTGAATTGCTAACACTTCCAACCACCTTTGCCAAATTGTAATAAATTGTATGTTTTTTGTTTTTTAGAGTTAATTTAATGTCCATCTAATTTCAAACAGTAAACTATGACATGTTCCCTATTGGCTCAGTTAATTACTCCATTAGTCCATGGAACTCTTCTGAACAAGACATATATATATATAGATCATGCTATATAACTGAACTCCACTGGGTGTGCAATGAACTATATTGACTGTCAGACTCGGGTTCCAGGCCTTTGCCGAAGAAGGTCGATGTCCACGCTTCCCGAGAGTCCGGCCAATAGAAGGAAGAGTAGGACCTGCAGGATGAAGCTGCCATGGTCTAATTACCAAGAACAACAAAGAAAAAAGTAAACAAATCGGGATGGTGTTCAATGCCTGAAGGGTGGATTGTGGGGAACCTGATCATCAATCAACAAGCACAGAATACACTTAATAGTCGTTTCATCAAATATGTCACCATCGTTGTGTGTGCTGTTTCTCAAAAGTTGCCCCTTCCTAGAGTCTTAGAGCTGAGTCCTTTCATGACTCTACCCTGTTTTGATCAGGGCCCTCTGGAATACAATATCATGGAAAGCAAATCAACAAAGGTGCAAAGCTACAAGTTCCCAGTGGCTGGACTGTCTGCTTCAAGAAGCAAGCCGTGGTTCCAAGAAAGACCTGGTTGGCCCGTGGTTCCCTTGACTCCATTGGGGTTAGTTGGTACATTGAGCCCAAAAGAGCTGCTGCATGGTGTGGCTCTTGGGGTGAGAGATCACCATGGGACAGGACAGACCCGGTTGGCCGAAACGGGTGCAAAAGCGACCTGGTGACCCGATGCAAAGGCGCGAAGGTTTCTGCCATCTGCAGGAAACAGTTCCATATGGCCTTTGGCTTCTTACTTTGTGATCCGCGTCTCTTTACTCAAGTTTTGAAATATATGATGGAACAGTCAACTCCAAGTCTCCTGGACTCCTTGCACATGGGGTGCACATGGGGTCTTCTTCGGAACTGGATGACTCATTGCTTCCGGCGCAACCAACGGTGACCCTTCTGCCGCCTGGGCGATGATCGCGAAGACCAGTTGCATCGAAGGATCGCGCAGACCGCCCCGAGCGCCGCTTCGGCGTCAAGCAGGCGCCACGCAACACATGAAAGAGTCCGTTGGGTCCCAGATCTCACTGATCTCACTGGGGCCCCTCAGTTCGAGCCTCGAAATCGAGAGTCCACTGCTCTGGCACAGCAACACAGCACAGCAAGTAAGTGCAAAAGTCATAGACATGTAGCCCTGTGCTGAGAGGACGAGATGATACATTGTGGTATTTTTTAGAAGGGCTCATTGGATGGGCTGGTCCAGTGGTGCTGACAAAGGTAAACTCCACAGCAGGAAGGTATACCTTTATACCAGGGTGATGCCCAGAATGTGTCCATGTTGTTGGTCATGGAAATCTGGTCCAATGTATTCCATCTGTCTGGCTGGCACTGGGCGAACGCTAGACGTGGATGGCTTGGCGAACGTATCTTCTACTCGTTGGATCTCTCCACCGCCTCCCCCGGTCTTGAGCCATGCGCGAAAATGTGTGGCTGACCGACGTGGGTTCATCAAACCTAAAATCTAGAAAGAACCGCTAGTTGCGGGTTCACTTCCTACAAACAATTGAGTTTGGGGCATTTGGGACGTTAACATATCTTCCGTCTTCGGTTTCGCTTCAGTTCCTGCCAGGGGTAGGGGTTGCCTCTTGAGGACACAAGGCGGTTGCTTCAACACCCTGCAAAAACCTCAGAAACTACACTATATAGCCCCAGTCATAGATAGAAAAGTAGATCCCCACTAAAAATGCATTGGACACCGTGCCACGAATGCTCTTTGGGGATCATTAACATAACACCTTGGATTGAATCACTCAACCCAGTGAGTGTTGTGATAGATAGCTATAGCAATATCTAGCAGTAAGACTATATAGAATATGTTTGTTCTTTAGATACTTGCACCATATCACCCAAGAACCAAATCGAGTCTTTTCTGGTCAACGTCGTTCGACACATCTCTGGTGACGTTGAGTGACTCTCGACGCTGCTTGAGTTGCCTTTTCGGGCGTCGTTCACTGCCGCGACAAAGGGGATGGTTCACTGCACTGAGAATGGGGTGCTGGAAAGGTTTTGACCTCCTTTCAATGTGTTCTTCTTTTAAATATTGCTGACTGCGCGAATCATGCTGAAGCCATTGTTAAGAAACCGGACAAAGATTGAAAACGTAGGTTGTTGTTTCTTTGAGTCTTTCGATGACTGTAGCCTGATCAACCATGTTCGCTTGGATGAACCATCCCCAGTAGCACCGCCACCCATGCGCGGAAACCGCTTCACCGAGGTGCCAGGCTGGGAGGCCTTGGGTCCGGATGGAGCGGTCGGTTTGATCTCCGATTTTCTCCGGAAAGACTCACATCTCAGGATCAAACACACTCAGTCTGTGTGTGTCCACACCTGTGCCTAAGGTTTTGAGTCACAAAGGACGCTAGTAGGGGCCCCTGGTTTCGCTACTAAGGGCTCTTGCGAGCAACCATCCAAGTGTGTGTTCATACTCCTGAGATCCCTCCGCTCCGGCCCGTGGGTCCCGAGGTTTGGGAGATGTGGTTTGAGGCACACACCCGTTTTGCTGCAGAACGTCTGTCGCCTCGTGGGGCTATGTGACCGTGCTTTCAAGGGGGGCAGGAGTGGCAGCTTCTTCTCAAAAGGAGTAATAAGGCTGAGGATTCCAGTAGATGACTTGGAATTCAGCTGGAAAACATATAAGAACACGCTACGCTCAGCAAAGGAGTATCTTGACAAGGAACAAAAACCTCCACCGACCTCCAGAGCCCATCACGAAAGAATTTCGGAAGGCACTGATGTGGCAGCGGGTCAAAACCCGACATCTCCAGTCTCGATTTTGACCCACCATTCAACACTTAATGCACCGATGTTCATTCCAGGGTGCTTCATGACTTTCAAGTAGATGATTTGCCGGAGTTGCCTTTCCCTGAAAAATTAGACTTTCATGAGAAACTGCGTAGACATCATCTAGCAAGCAAACCGCGATATCCGCCCCCTTGTCTTGGCCGTCCGCAGTAGATTGTGTTGACCTTGTGTGACTGATTTCTGCGTTTCATGCGAGATACCGCGTGTACACAGTGTGTGTTTGGATATGTCCACTTCGAAATATTCCATATTTGTCAGGTCTCCTACCACATCGCTCAGCGTAGGAAGCAACGAACTCTTTGTCCGTCAGAGCGTTGCTCAAAAACCCCTGGTAGGCTTCGGTTGACCTCCCCAGTAGCCTATTCTGTTAATCCTCCGTGGCGGGTTCCGGATTTCGAGGCGCCTCAGCGATCCCAGCCAGTCAAGTCGTCGTCGGAGTCCTCGCCGGGTGGTGGGCCTGGCAACAGAGCGAGCCAAAGCTGATGACTCGGGGCGACATTGACCGCGACGGGCAAGTTCAAAGCAAAAACGGAGGTGAATTACTACAGCACAGGTTAACGGTAGTTAAATATACCAGGATCGCTCGAGCTATATCACTTTGTCCAAGTCCTCGCCAAAGGTTGAGCCGAGGGATACTTTTTCATTGGATGAAGGGCATGACGCGTGTAGAAGGATCGGGACCCGAACCACTGGTTTCCACCTGCTGCCCTTCCAACTGCCAACCTTCTGATGTTACTGTAAGTTCGGATGTCATGTGATTTCAAAAAATAGTGGTTGCTGCTGCTCTGGTCGATTCTGATGCGGTGCATGACTTTGTCCATTTGTGTGCACGACCTGCCCCCCCCAAACAAAACAAATTGACAAACATGACAAAGGTCCAAAGCAACATGGAGAGCCACGGGTGTTCATGGTGTTCCTCTCTGCTACTACCTGTGACATCAGCTCTAATTCCTGTACCCCTTGAAACCCAAAGAAAGACCTATTTAAGTCTTCCACGGCATCGATCCAACAAAAGAACCTAAACGACCTATATCCAGCACCACGTCAGGGGGTCTATAAATCAACCGTGGGGTGGTGCTGGATGAGTTGTGTTTGTTCCTCCATTCTTTTCAAAATCAAGGGTACCAGCCGGGGATGGCTGTTTTCAAAGGTCGTCACGTTCTCAACGACCTATGAGTTGCGTTTTCATCATCGAGGATTATTTGGGAATTGTTTTGCCATTGATGGGATGAGTCTTGAAGGGTGTGCATGAATCCCAACACAAACGGCATGTGGAGGATCTATGGATCTGGAGTGTACTAAAGAGAACACGCGAGGGCATTCCCTATCATTCGGAGCCGGCATAGTCAGTAACAGGGTCGAAATGCCTCTAGCAAATTTGATCAAATTTGCATCGATTAAGGAATGCAGGCTACGCCATAGGTGTACCTCCAGCGCAGTCAGTGGGAGTAGCAACCTTCACACCATTCTTTGAGAGAAACCAGAAATTGAAAAAGTTCCATGCTACAGTTCAACGATCCAGTAGAATCTTGATCGTTGATCTCTACTCCTTTTGTCAACGATGCGAGTTCATAACCCAAAGTATTTTCTGATATGTTCTGGCTCTATTTCTCAAGAGTCCCTTTGCTTGCAGTCCAGTCCAATCACTGGAAATTCCGAAACCTATGAGGTAGTTTCTGGTCCCCTATCACCCCGGCCTCTTTGCTCGCTGTAGCCGCTCACCGTGGCCGGAGGGACAGCGCCTGCAGCATAGCTGCCCGCGCCGCCCGCGCCGGGCGCAGCACCATGTGGCACGGCCTCGTCCGAGGCGAAGCGAGGGACCATGAACCATCAGCTGATTTGATCACCTCTGGGGGGTCCACCCAGTCATGCGAAGCGAAAGTAGCACCAGTTCCAAAGAAACTGGGGTCAGCCAGTTTTTAGCGTTGGGATAAAAACACCACGTGTTATTCATCGCGTGAAAGTTATACACTCATCAAAACATGTGAACATATGGTTTTGTTGCATGGTATATAGAAAAACAACTGCAGTATTACTATTAAACATACTATATTATCACATGATATTATAGGTGCATATAGATATATCTCAAGTAGTCTAATTCCTACTTCCATCATCCAGGTCATCATGAAACACGTGAATAGGAAGCGTTGCAAATCCAAAGATGGATGGAACCTGCTCGAGTGACAAAGGATTAAATTGCGTTCCTTCTGCAAACAACGTATAAATAGGTGACTCTCACAAAGTGTCCAAATGGCCGAAGCGCGGTAAATCCCCTATGTGAAAAGTAACCTGCATATGTCCTTTTCTGCTGTTTATCGTACCCCAGTCACATTCCAATTCCAATTGTTCAGAAAAATGGCACTAGTGCTCCGTAGCGAAGCGAACCATCTGCAAGCCGTGGATGTGTCCAGGTCACGTCGCGGTCTCGGTCGCTCAGGACCGGACGCTGAAGGATCCCGATCCGGAGGGCCCTGATCAATGAGCCGTCCTATGATGTCACATGTCATACCAGGACAAGTCATAGATTGATTTACCGGTTTCTTCAGTCTGTTTATATCTTATATCTACTATGCCACCTACGGAATCCTGGAAAGACCTGAGGACCTTCGTCGACCAACGTGTCCGTGGTCGTTCCCCATCACATCTCCGCGGTCGAGGCCCTGTCTCCAACACCACAACAAGACAAACAACATTGGTTGGTTGGTGAAGGTTGAGATGCAAGAGACCAGTGGATTCAATAGACAAAACCCATCAAATGAACTCTTGGCATTGGAAGTCCCAACTGAGTCGTAGACGTCTCATCTGCGAACTTTGCGCAGCATTCCCTTGGCGGATTTTTGGGTCGCCCTGCCCCCCCCTTAGCGAGAGAACAAACAAACATACAGACCTGCCGTTGCATGTCAATGTCATGAATCTGCGGTTCGGCTGTTTGTTCCGGATTGCTCAGCAACAAAAACTTGTTTAGCAGGATATTGTCTGGATTTTTGAACCTTAAAGATTATAAGCTCCTTCAACAAAACAAGATTGAAACATCTCCTTGAAAAGGCCGCCAACCCAAAGCAGGTCAGGAAAGTCTGTAGAATCGACATAGATCCTCAACATTTCAACTCGCTGTTGTGGCAAGCTCTTGGCATCCAACGCGGTGCTGTCAGATGCGGAGCTGAACCTAATTGGTCAAAGCCATTTCTGAGAAAAACACCATGGAAGAGATGGAAGACACGATGGAAGACACGTGATGTACACAAATGGTCGTTTTCAATCGTTTTCTCCGCATTTTGAGCCCGCTGCTGATGACCGCCGTGGCCAAAAGGTTCAGCTCCTTGGGGAAGGTGATTGGCTGGCGCTCCATCTTCGGGGCTTCGCCAGTCATCTGTCAACTTGAGATTTTGGGCAGTTGAACGCAGGGCGCACTGGACCTTCGTCACCAACCTCAAACCTGCAGGTTGAAAGGCAAGAAGCAACCTGGGGCTTCAAAAGGTCAGTTCAGAACCTGGACAGTGGGTTTGAAGAACAATGCGTTCATGTGAAATATCATTGGACGTGAACCCCGCTAGAACTGTGATGGGCTCAAGCAACCCGACGAGACTCTGGCCAACACCGCGGGAACTTTGTCACTCTTTGTCTCTTCGGGTCATGGCCATGGTAGGCCAAGCATGGCCTGTGCAATGTACATGTCCGCACCACCCCGGCCCCCTAAGGCACACTGTGGGCGAACGAATAACTGATCAAGCAATGACAACGACGGGAAAGCACGACACCCCATCTAAGTCGTCTCCACTTCCCTGATACAAACTAATACACATGAATCAATTGTGATACGTGTGAGGGATGTAAGGACCATACCCGCCTAATCCATCTGGATGACGAGTTCCAGATCCGCGCTTTCCGGAGCTCGGCCCCCGACTCGGCCCGGCGCTGGGAAGTGCCAAATGCGCAAGCGCTTGTCCTAGCGGGGGTGGCAGACATCGGAGGACCCTGAAGACAAGGACCAGTGATAAAAAGGAGGCAAAAAGACCCCTGATTTGGCTGACCTCAGTTTGAGGTACTTTTGAAGCATCAGCTGTATGTATGTCTCTATTGAGTTGTTAAATTGACTACAGTAACCGACAAAGAATACAATATGATAATTGCATCAATAATTCAATCTAAGATGATCTAAGTACACCCTGAGAAGGTCAGAACTGATCCTCCAGCCTCCAGTCACTCACTCATTTCAAATCCTTAACCACCTAAGGTATGTGTTGTGTGTTTTTTGCTGGAAGAGCTTTCTGCTCATTTTGGGGGGAGACTCCCACGCCCGTACGGTTCCACTGTATGCTGCTCCAGGTCGCCGGATGCGGATACGCCGGATGCTGAGACGTGCCACGGCCGGCTCGTACGCCACGTGCCACGACCGGCTCGTTCGACCCGTCCTTGGAGGCACTGAAGAGCCGTCGCTGAGCTTCATCCCAATGGAGGGCTGTGATCTCATCCTGGAAAGGTGTCAACCGAACGAACGGGGCACCCGATTCTAGGGTGGAAACAAGAGGAGGTACAGTGCCTGATTCGGGCAAGTGATCGCAGGAACCATGACGTGCTGCCGCCCCGAGCTACACCAAAACGCAGCTTTTTCACCTGAGCATCGCCATCCAGTTCGGTACCTCGGGTTCAAGCGAGCAGCCAACAAGTTGCAGTCCTCATGTGCCTGCCACGCGTAGGACGGCCCACCTTGACCATCAAGCACAAAGGCCTGCAACATTTTGGACTTCGGACAGCCGCTACTTAGCTACTTTGCGAATGCGATCTGGGCGATCTCTCACCTATCACCTACCCGAATGAAAGGTATTTTCGTGGGCTTGCTCTAAAGTTGAGCACCGTGGGAGGCTCAGGAAGTCTTGGGACAATTTCTCACTTTCGGAGGCCTCGTGAGGCCTCCCACCTTCGGGAGGCAAACAACCTCCCAAGCAAACCCGCCCAGTTGCAACACAGCTCAGCTCCTGGGTGACTGGAAATGACACTCAGTCAGTGGAACTCTTAGACGGTTAGCCGCTTTTGGCCCAAGAAGAGGGCAGAAGGCCACATAATTAAGAAACCAAGCAACCTGATTACATGGGAACCACTGAGAGTCTAGATTTAACATATAGCAAAGACTGTCATAGGAAAGAAGGTTGTTTCTTTCTGTTCTTTCGCTTCAACGCCACAGCAGCCCGCTCAATCGCGGCCACCCGGCCACACAGGCGCCGGTGGCAAAGCCGGCGATGAGCTCGTGCGAGGAGCCCAGCCAGGTCACGGCGGTGCACCTGGGCCGGACGGATCCGGGGCGACGGCCGGCCAAAGGTGCTGGGAAGCCCGTGAACAACGGGGTCATAGTGGGATTGGGGCGGTTCTTTGTCAGTTGAACGTGCATATGGCTCCATCCTGGTCTGTTGTAAATGCAACAGTTCCTCGAGGAGCTTCTTGGGCAGGAACTGAGTTGCTCCAGGAAGTGTCCTTCTCAACAAGCACCTTTGGCTTGCTTGACCATTGATACCTACTTCTCCCCCTTGTTCATATCATGTGGACTGGCGGCATTTCCCAACAGTTCTCACATTCTATTTTGCCACATGCTCTTTCACCAGAGCAGTTTTTGAACATTTGAACGCTAGTTGTATTGTTTTGGATGGGTTTGAGGCGCCTTCTCCCAGGATCATTTTAGATCGATTTCCTTGAGAAGGCAGTGTTTCCAAATATGTTCAAGCAAAAGCATTTCAAGACAAAGCAACTTGACCATACCATACTTGACCAATAAAACCCTTGTGAAGATTGAGGCAAATTTCCTTTGCTGCCCAATGTTCTAAATCATTTAAGAGTATAGACTACAGTATAGAAGAAGTTAAGCAAGAAATATGCAAGGTAGAGTTCAAGCTTACACCAATAGTCAACAAACACAGCAAGAAGGCAAAATAAACTATGGGCCCACATGCATCGCCAATAGGTTACCAGAACTAATTACACAAAACCAACACTGACATTGCAAACCAAAAACACCAATGTTGATAAAACTGGCCCCACCCTGTGGTGGCCTCATCGTGTCTGAAACCTTGCATTCTTTGTGTTCGGCTTTTGTTTTTGTTGAAACCTTGTTCTGTGTGGTTGCGCGAAAATCATCTCCAAAGAGCACATGCTCTGTAAAATTGCCAGGCCTTGGTACTTCACCGAGTTGCTCCAGCTGCTCTTAATGAATGCCCTCAAAATGAATTGACGCCTACTTACTTGCCCAAAAAGGACACCCACTTCGGCCCAGGTTGGCCCAGCTTTCGTCTGACCAGTGGATCTTTTGTTTGACGGATTCCTGGGGGGTTATTGTGGTTGGCTTTGGTTCTTCCATCACTCACAAAAGAGGAAAGAACGGATTACCCCTACTTGGTTGAACAAAATAACCACAGCCAGCCTGTAAACCGTTCCTGTGTTTTCATGGATTGTGTTCCTTTCATGTTCTTTCATGTTTCGTTTGGCCTTCTTTGGCACAAGTGAATTTGTGGCCCCCACTGGGGGCACCTGGCATCCTAGGACCCGGTGCAGCTGGCATCCGTCGATTCTCCGGGTCGATTCGGCAGTCGATTTCTGAGATCCGCGCGGATTCATCACTGGGATCGTACCCTTGCTGCGTCCCCAGGCACCTGCCAAGGTCGAGTTGAGTCGAACATCTGAGTGTCGCATCTACAGCAACACGGACCTACAGCAACCGATGTGCCAATCCTTCCTCCACCAGGTAGATTTCAGGGAAGAGTTGAAGCGTACATATCCAGCGGTCGAATCACCCGATTCACACAGCCCAAGGACTTGGAGCCTAATCTAGTTGTGACCACAAAGCTTGTATGACCACGTTAATGCCAAACATAAAAAAAGAATGTGGATGGGATGTACCTTAATGTTCCTCAATAATCCTTATTTTATTGCGGCTCAGACTGTATATAGGAGGCCAGTTGTTCACTCCCAGCCTGTTTCCCTTTCCTGCCTAATCTGCTACATGTAAATAAAAAAATCATTACAACTCTATGTAGACTTATGATATATGGGTCATTATAAACTTATCGATCAATCACCCCAGTCGATCAATCACCCCTCTAAACCAGAACAATCACCTGGATTCCTGGATGCACCAGGCCGGCTGCAAACGCAAGAGCATGCAAAAGCATCAAGGATATCACACATCGACTGAAAGCAATAAGCGGCTCATAGCCCGCTCACTGACAAGTGCAACTCTCTGAAACATATTTCGGCCCACTTCACAAATTTCACAACCACATCCAACACGCAGTTAGGGCACCGGAGCTAACGGCTTTCACGCACCAAATCCGCAGAGCATCCTTGCTGGCCGAGAACAACCTGAGCCCAGTGGTCATGCATCCTACCTCACCTTCGGCGTCTGAGCCACCCTCAAAACTCGTGGCTAAGAGACAAGGGTGTTCTCAAGCGGGGGGTAAGACTTGACATTCACAAATGGACCACACGGTATATGAAGGTTGCTTTGGAAAACGAAAGTAAAGCGTGCGTGAACGTCTACATTGCTGTCCATAAGGGGTCAGTCTAACAGCGGAATATGTTCATGTTGACATAGATGTAGCTAAAATGCTTAGGCTCTTGACATCAGAAGTCCTAAAATCCGAAGCACAACTCGGAACCAGCAATGATGTGTCAACTCGAGTATGGCAGCCCCCGCACTTCCAGCAGAACTGCTTGTTTGCATCTGAGCGTCAGCTCCAGTGAAGTCGTGGAATAGAATGCCGAAATGAGGGGAAACCATGAACAGCCATTTTCTCACTGGCCGGTCCAAGCATACCTAATTCCACCGTTTGTCTGTAAATGCCGCCCATCCGGGCTCCCTGTGACCCTTCACCGGTCCTTTTCGGTCAAAGAAGTGCTTTGCTCCAAAAATTACGTGGACCGCATTGGATGATGACACGTTGGCTGGCCATGCGCCGCCCTTTGGACTCTTGGGTACGGTAGAGCTGTAGATAGCCTCTCTGATTTTTCAGCAGCTGCACTGAGCAAACAAAGCGCCCCTTAAACAAACAATATGCTAAGTGTTCTGGATGGGTGCACTTGTGCATGAAACTGTGACATGTGGGCTCCCAGGGAAAGATTCCCGGAGCCCACAGCAAGGAACTGTCCCGTGACAATATCCAACATGTCGTAGACGATAGGTATCCACATTCCTCTCATGATTCAATTTTGATGCTGGTGGGAACCATCGGCAATGCCCCTAACTACAAACAACATCCATGGAAAATAAGCTGGCAAGTGGCCTTTTGTGTGGCCCCATGCCCTTCGCAGATTAATCCGGTCTCCAATCTTTGTCAGGTCCTTCTTTGCAGCGGCAAGCATGGCTGTGTCACCAGACTACCACTGGTCAGGGGAAGCAGAGCGACTCATACGCTTCAATGAAAGAAACTACTCAAACGCTGCAGCCACGGTCGCTTCTCAAGACGTCTCGGTCTCCAGGTAGGCCCCAGAATAGCCGGGTAGAGTGGCCTATTTCTTTTGGCAAGACCTCTTAGCAGCATCTTACGTAGACATCAGCGTTTACCCACTGGCCCACCTAAGCCAACACCAGCTGGACGTCCCTCACACGACAAGAGTTTCAGTGTCGTTCCAGCGATTGTTTTTTCTATGTTTTCTGATCTAGGAAGATCGACCAACCACTTATTATATAAATGCAAAATGAGCTCTTCATATCTTCATGGATGCTTCCCCTGCATAGCCACCTGCATGGCCATGGCCGAACGACCCGAGCGGATGAGGCCGTCGGCCGCTTCGCTTTGCTCGGCTTCACTCGGCTTCGGTCGGTTGGGCGGTGGTGGATGTCAGGATGCCGACAGCCTTCAATGGCACTGGACCGGCACGACATGAACTGGAAGAATGCACTTGTTTTGACTTGAATGGTCCTGCAAACTACAGAAAGTGGACTTCTTGCCAATCAGCTGGAGCCACCACCAGAACCTGTTCTATGTCAGCCTAAATGTGTCCTACTATCCAAGGCAACAATCTTCGCGCGAGTCTTAAACAATATCTTTCCAAAACATCAAGCTCGGAGTTTCCAGGCAATTGAGGAAGATTCTCCATCATCGGATGCGAATAAAGGGGTTCGCAGCGGTTCGCATTTTCTCCAAAAAAAAAGGTGAACTCCACATCGTTCCATGCAGAAATCGCCTTCGAGTGCCCGCCTAAACGTGTTTGGCACAGGGGTTTCTTGTGCACTAATGATCAACCATCGGCCACCCAATTTCTGACCCTATATAAAAGAAGCTACTAGGGGCTCCTGGCATCGCTACTAGGAGCAAGGACGCTACTAGGGGCTCCTGGCCTCACTACCAGGAGCAAGGACGCTACTAGGGGCTCCATGAGGTTGTGCCTTCGAAGATCTTTCTTCAAGGCAACCAATGATTATTCAATTTATGTTCCATGCACCCTTTGATTTGATTGTGAAAGGAGCTGAAATGGTAGGGCAGGGTCCAACGGGTCAAGGTGTCTTTGTTGCGTCTTTTTGTGACAGCTGCAAGAATTTCTGTATATTAGATAGTGTGACCACGAGACCGGAACTCCTTTCGGTCAAAAGAAGCAACTACACAAGCACCTCACAAACCAAAGATCTGGACAACCGCATGCAACTAATTCCCAGAAATGGACTCCGCGCATCTCTCTTTGGCCAACCTGCCATGTTGCCCTGGATTGCCGGCTTTGCCGTGCCGTTCGCCGCCCGGTTCGCGGCAGCTCTCAAACGGCGTCGGAGACCAACAACTGGGACACGGGGATGCCTGGCGGGTCACCAGCTCTAGGGAAGGAACGCTGGTCACGCTGGACCTTCTCAAGTGGGCTTCGTCGGATAGGGGGAGGTAAAACGTCGAAGTGCAAGGTGGACGATGTGTTCGATGTGCCGAAAGATCCATTGACCGAAGTGATACCTGGACGCAGTACCTGTGAAAAACAAAAGAGACTGTTTTTGTAGTAGTCGCCCCATGCCAAATGTGGGGCATCCGAATAAATGCAGCGTGTAAATATAGTTTTAGTAGATTTAGATAATTATAGAGTATACAGTATAACTAATAACTAATAACAACTAGTTCTTATATATAGCCTGTATTTATGTAATATAAATAAATAAATATATTATATGTGTTTGTGGTGGAACTACAGGATCTTTTCTTTACAACTGTTGTCCAAAAGACTGGAGCCAACCAGAATGTGCACCTGTACAACCATCTAGCTTGGAAACCTACATCTCTCCCGACGCACAAAACTCCTTGGTCAAGAAATGCACCCCCGAGGGCACTACACAATCAATGGATATCAATGATATCAATGGTAAATTGGCCCTACCTCATGGCATCTTTGCGTAAACATGTGCAAAAGTTCAATACAAACAAAAAAAACAAATGCTGATACAAAAAGCAAGGTCGGCTTGCTCCGGTACTGTGGGAAACTGAAGGCAACAATGTGCAACTCTACTTGCTGCTACAAACAGCGTTTTTTGGAATGCAATGATTGTTTTCCAGAGAGGGCATCTTCCTATCATAACAACTTACGGACATTTTGCAGCCTGCTCCTGTGTCTCAACCCTAGTGCCACCACACCCCTCCGTTTTCAACAAAACCCTGCGGCAGCTGTGGGCCAGCTCGCGCCTTTCTGAATGCAACGCATGTAGTGATAAATGAAGTCCTGGACATTTCCAAAAGCCAAAGCAAGGACGGTTGTGGATTTGTCCCGTTTTCTCCTGGTTCGATACAGCTGGGCTAAATGCAGCAAGCAGGCCATTGCAAAAACACACACTCGAACATCAAGCACCAAAATAGCGATGGACCATTCGTGCCAAATGGACACTGAAACCTTCGGGGCCGCCCTGCTCCTACCGCATGCGTGTCTTCCTGTGCAGAAACAGGACCAGGATCACGTCTCTCCGCCCGTGACCGGTCCCCCATGATGAGAAGCTGGATCAGCTGGGCGCAAACCACCCAATTGCCCACAAAGGCCTGAGGTGAGCCATCTGCGGCAATCTGTTCAGCTTCTTGGTTCTCAATGCTCAGGTAAGCCTTTTTACTGCACTGAAACGATATGTTGCTGATCAATTGGTTCAAATATTCGTGGGGTTCTGGTGGCTGTGGGACCTTTACATGCCCCAAAGTATCATGAGTCATGACTGGAAGTCTTCGTCTCCCTGCTTGAGACCACCATCCAACGAACAACAACGCTGACCCAAAGCATAAATGTGTACTGCCTGGTTGACACTTGCAAACGCTTTTGCAACCACCTATCACACAACTTCCGTATCCCAATCCTGTCTTTGTGATGTTTCTCCATCTTCCAGCCGCCTATATCAACACCCGCCTGTCTTCCACCCGCGCAAACACCGCTCCGCCTTGATGTGGTGATTGGGGTCTGAGAGCTCGCTGAAGGAGGAGGCCCAGAAAACAAAGGACATCACTTTGGCCAAGGCCTCGGACGACGCCCGGGGGTCGACCTGGCCTTTGAAAGCCCGTGTTTCGGGTCTTGAAGGGGTTTTCCACTGCTGGGTGAGAAATCTCTGGCTGGCGTGCGGGCTTGAAAAACGGGTCAAACAAGTGGTTTTGAGGGATTCCTGGGGATTTTGAGAAGCTGCCGTATCGTGATAATGCCCCATTGTTGCCGTGTCTGGAGGAGAAAACAAAGATGTCCAATCCAATGGTCGAGTTTGGCAGCAGTGTGCATGCAGGGCTTGTATGGAGGATGTGCTGTAGAGATCCAGGATGGATCAAGATGAACAATGAACACATGGACCCATGGCTAAGACTGGATGGAATCACCAAAACTGGAATAACCCATGATCCAAGATGCTCCTTCAAATGACCAAAACTGGATTCAGGATATATCATGATTCATCATGTTTCATCCACTTCTGACACCTGCCAACCAAAATCCACCCGCCAATTGAATCTTCATGACTTCCGGCGGAGGAAATGATAGCAACCCCCCCAGCTCGGCGTTTAGCAGCACTCGTGGTCTACAGTCTACACAACATTCATGCCTGGAAGCTGTGATGTTCTTTCGGAAAGCACGTTTTTTTCCGGATTAGTTGTAGCAAAATTTATAGTTCTCTAGTCGGTCACTACAGTGACCATTGAACACATCGCCATGTTCCCCTGAAAACCGACCTCTGACCTCCCACCAACGCTGAACGCGTTCGAAGCCTGCGCTGCGAGGAAGTGGGAGGTGAACCTCGGAGAGAGCTGTGGATGGTGTTCACGTCAGGTGAGCCTCTGGATCAAACCCTCCTGACAGGTGCAAATCTGTTGGTTTGAGGTGGGTTTCGTCCGTTTTGTAATAAAGGCTTCTTCAGCCAATGGATGCGCAGGACTACCACTGAACGGATTGCATCATAGCCCATGTCTATACAATATAACAGCATCGATTCATCAATTGCTGGTCAAGGGCAACGATCCCTGCGTATATCTATGCCTGTCTACCTGTCCGATTCAAAGGCCCCAGGAGTTCAAAAAAGGTGTGTGTGTGTGTGTTGTGTGTTGTGTGTGCGTGTTTCGTTTATGCTTGAGGTGTGGATTTATGTGGATTTTAGACTCTCGGAGGGTGGATTATGAGCACCCCCATTCTCCATTGAGAAACCCTTTAGAACTCTTCGTCGCCCATCCATCCATCCATGCAGCCAGCCAGCCATCCATCCAGCCAGCCACCCATCTTACAGTAATAACATTTACAGTAATAACATACCAGCATGGAAGTCAAACTGTAAGTCTGCAATCTGCTGCATACCTTCCCACCTAGGGCTGGCGAGCACCGCATTTCAACCACCATCAAGGACCCATAGAGAATAATGAGGACCCCACCGTTGAGGCTCCAGTGCTCAATGGAAGCCATTGCTAGTCTGCTATTCTTAAACTGCCCCAAAATCCTCGAATGTGGATGTTTGACACTTGGAACATGCTCCACGCTCTCCCCAGGCTTTAACTCACGATCCTTCAAGAGAATGATCCAGGCACCTCAAACCATCCATGATTCGCATGATTTTTCGCAGCAAAGAACAAACACAATTGAAACGCACAGTGCCCACGAAACCGCAAGTGCCCACGAAGGTCTTTGATGCGAATATGAAATATGTGACACCAAGCCTTCTGCTAAAACCTGCTAAATTGTTCAAAATGCTGCTGCAATGGCCTGACAAGAACGCCGCAGCTTAACCCCTCTTGCTTCCAAGGTGCTCTTGCGCCCTGCCCTCTTTCATGAACATGTAGAGTTGGCAAAGGACCGCCACCGATTCCTCTGTCAACTTGCGTTTCTGGCAACGCTGGAAGAAATCCAAACAAATACATTTGATGCCCATTTGCTATCCTTTGCTGATCCCCTCTTTCAGGAAAGGAACGGTTTACCTTTCTCCACCTGTTCATTTTGGATAGAGAAACCAAGACCCCCAAAAAAGTTAAACTATATAATGTTGGATCCTGATTAGTAAAGGGGGGTCCCCCCCCCCCTGTATTTAGTAGGGTCCTAGGTCCCCTGGGCGTGTCTACGCTATACGTGTGTAGCACCTGTTATTGTACATACATTAGTCTGTAGCTCTTCAGTCCGCTTTCGACATAATTCATTTGGCTCAAGACTTAGAAGCCCAATACTGCATTCACTGCCATAGAAAAGGTGTGCTTCGCCGTAGCTCGCACACCGACTGCTTGTGTTTGACTGCTTGGTGTTTTCGATCAGGTCCAGTTATTCCAACTGCCACTTCTGGGGGAACTTACCCCTCAAAGTGGTAGCGGAGCTTGTGTCTCCTGCTTCGCATTGGTCGATTTTGCCTTCGTGCCGAATCGTCCGATATTCCGGACAGGGGACAACCAAGTCAGTCACTTGTCAAACAAATAGACCATGGTCCAGATCTTTAACATAGATACGGACGAAGAGCATGACAGCGACCTATCTGACGTAACAGATCCAGAAGAAGCTTTTGCAGCTCAAGGTTCGCGTCATCGCCAACAGCATGGAAGGTCCTCGAGTTCGACATACCGGACGTACGAGGCACAGCCATCAGCAGGTGTCAAGATGACGCCAAAGATTCCTCCGTCATTCGATGGACAGTCATCCTGGTTCGAGTTTGAAGATTTGATTGATGACTGGGTGAACATCACCACATTAAGCGCCGAAAATTTAGGCCCATCATTGAAGAACGCTCTAACCGGAAACGCCGAATACTACAAGAAAATGCTCGACAATGAACAGCTTCGTCATGAAAGAAACGGTATTACGTATTTCAAAGAGACGTTGCGTCCATACTTTGTCAAAGGAGCAAACCATGTTTTTCTCTGGCGTTTCATGCAGCTCTTCAGGACCTGGCGCGGAAACGGGGAATTTGTAAGCTGGATCGCTCGTTTTGAAGTCGCTAGCAAGAAAGTCATGGAAGCCTTCATGGGCTTGTTAGATCTTTCGACTGTTCCCCAGCCTGATGATTTCAACTTTACTGATATCCTCTCGCAACAGCAGTACATGCTACTTCAAGGGCTTCAAGATCCCGCAGAAAGAAGAGAAAACACAGAAAGAATCCTTTCTGAACACATTGATGCTTTGAAACAAGCACATCGTGACACCTTTCCATTGTCTGACAACCTGATGTCACTTATTTTCTTAGTTCAGTCGGATCTTAACGAACAGCAAAGAGAAAGGTTTGTAGCCAGCATTGGCCTTGCGTCAGATCAACATGAACAACTACACATACTTAGGTGTCAAAGGCTTATTCCTTGATCTCTTTTGCGGAACCGCCACAGGAACTGCCGATCCTTCGATCCGCAGGCAAAGAAGATCCACTTTCCTTGTCCTCGATGAAGGAGACTTGGAAGAAGAATCCGGATACTGGGTGATGGATCAAGAAACAGGCGAAGAAGGATTTGTGAGTTTGTTCTCAGAGTCCGAATTTTGGGTGTTAGCAGCCAAAGGAGGATACACCCGTAGAAGAATCCATGGTAGAAGATTCAGAAAACCATCCAAAGGCGGCAAGGGAAAAGGCCGCGGAAAAGGCAGAAGACCCGGCTTTGTCAGCCGTAGAGGCAAAGGTGCAGGGGCACATTATGCAGAGTACCCTGACAACTCAGGTTTCTATGGAAAAGGCAAGAAAGGAAAGAAAGGTGGAAAGAAAGGATTCAAGGGAAAGGATGCATTCAAAGGCAAAGGAAAAAGCAAGCAACAGAATCCCTTTCAACAATCCAATGTTGCAACCACCGAAGAGCCTTCACCAGCTCAACCATCCACTAATGCCGAAGAAACCTGGAGTGCACATGAAGCAAATTGGTCATGGGACTCGTACGGATATCACACAGACCAGTACTATCCTGAAGATGTCTGGCAGGCAAATGAAGCCACTTGGCAACAATGGACATACTTTGCGGACGGACAGACGGACAGACCGCAAGATGAAGAGCACAAGAGCTCAGATCGAGAGCCTGACCAGATGAACCAGTCAGCAGATTTCCGGTATTACGGAACACATGCAGAAGAGATGACTGGTGTAGAACATGTTTCACAGCCGTATCACCTAAACCCTGCCGGTAGCAGTACAGACTACCGACATTCCGGTTGTTCTGAAGTAATTGATCCACGCTTCTGTTCTTCTTTTGTCAACTTTGACGATGGATTTCACCATGCTCTGCTTTCTGAATACATCGACTTGAGGTACAGCCCGACCTACGTGATCATTGACAGCGGCTGTACCAGAGCAATGGGTTCAAGGACCGCCATCATGCGTCTAGTGAAGGCATGTAAGAGACACTACAATGCATCTAAGATTGATTTCTCTTTTGAGCCTTCATCAAGTCGATTCTCATTTGCAAACGGTGAACAGTCCAATGTCCGAGACAAGCTGGTAATTTACTTTCAGAACGACCAGTCACCCACAGGGTGGATCACAACAGCGATAGATATCTTGGACCAAGGCGACGTTCCAATCCTTTTCAGCGTTGAGCAGCTCAGGAACCTTCGCATGTCTATTGAGCATACTCCAGTCGGTGATTATCTGACTTGTCCTTTGTTCGGCCTGAAGCGATTTTCGCTGCCAGTGAGCACTTCGAACCATAATGTCCTGGACATCATGATGTTTGCCAGCTCAGTTCGTAAGCCGAACCACAGTTTTACTGCAATCAATCCTTCGTATGGAGCCTGTCCTGCCTGCAGCGGAAAGCACCGCAAGCACACATACAAAGATGGATGCAAGAAGGCAGAGACGTCCGAAGTGAAGGAAGACAAGTCTGTAGCCGATATTCCGGCCAAGAAGCCAGACAAGCACATTGCAAGTGGAGATGCCAAGGTCGATCCGCCATCAAAACTCATTTCGATGCCTCCGCCGGCTAAGAAGGTGACACCTCCGACATACCGGAAGACAGAGAAGTCACCTGATTTTGGTACGCCATTTGAGCATTCGAAGATTCCAAGTTCGAGCTCAGGAGCCGAGAAGCCTGACGTACCTCCAGCAGAACCTGACATGCCGGTGAAGCCTGATCCTCAGGAAGAATCCAAGGAAGACGTGAAACCAATATCAACAACAGCACATCGAGAGAAGAAAGCTCCTAAGGTTTCAGTAACACTGCCGTTAGCATTGCAGAGAATCCATGAGAAGCTGTCTCATCCAACTGAACTCTTGAAACTGCATTTGAAGCACTATCACATGTCAACTGAGCAGTTCAAGAAACGAACATCAGGTTTGAAGATTCCTGCTAAGATCTATGAAGAGTATGAAAAGGTAGTCAAGCAGTGTGACACATGTCAGAAGTCCAAGATTGCACCATCAAGATCAAGAATTTCAGGTATGAGAAGTGAAACGTTTGGAGAACTCACCTTTGTTGATCATGGTGAACTTGCTATCAACGACAAGTCCGAACTTCTTTTCCTGATTATCTATGACGGTGCTACTTCTATGACCACTGCTTACGTATGTAACGGCAAGACTGAAGCAGAAACGATTGGCCATCTTTTGGAGTACTTTGAGACATACCAGTTGAATCCTAAGTATCTTGTCGGTGATCAAGGTTTCATGGGTACTGAACTTGAAGCTTTTTACAACAGAAAGAATATCCGACCGATCACTTTAGGACCCGGTGATCACCCTGATGCTTAAGTCCGTGACTGAGGATCCATCCAGATACGAGATCACGTACCGTCAACTCCTCAGACAAGCATCACTTGCCAGGAACTCCATGGTTACTTTTGGTGGAGTATCTCCATTGGAGATGGCATTTGGACGGCGACCTGCAGACCTTTTGTATCCAGAGAACATGACACCAGAACAGCTTACAGCTTCACTTCCTTCTCCCGAGAAAAATATAGATGCTGTCAGAACACTTGCCATGAAGTCTTATCTAGAAGCAAAACAATCCGACGATTTGAGAAGAGATATTTCTGCAAGACTTCAATTGAGTGATGGTCCATTTTTCCCTGGTGATAAGATATACTATTGGACAGAAGATAAATCCAAGGTAAAGTCTGATGGAACCCACAGTGGTAAATGGATCAAGGGCAAGGTCATCAGTTCTGACGGCAGTATGGTTGGTATCGATTTAGGCACCAGAATTTTGAAGGTCAACATCAGCAAGGTCCGTAAGGACATCAATGCGATCGAAGATGTTGAGGTGCCACTCGACCCGGTTGCACTTCTGAGTTCTGAGAGTGAACGGACCGATATTCCGGTCACTGACCACGCAAGCTCTCTAGTCCAGAGCGACGGAGCCCAGATCGGTGTGGAAGGCTTCACATATTCCTCTTATGCATGGCAACCCGTCATGGCTGGCAAGATTGATTTCTTAGAACTGTTCGCAGGTTCAGCACGGTTAAGCCAAGTTGCGGCAATGAATGGTTTGCGTGTTGGACAACCTATTGACCTGAGAACCGGATTTGACATCTTGACCAGCGATGGACGTAAGAGGACGATGGACATCGTCGAAAAACAGAAGCCTAGAGTCATTTTTATGGCGCCGCACTGTGCTCCTTGGAGTCAGACGACCAATATCCATGATCGTGCAGCACGAGATCAGCGCAGACAGAAGTTTCTTCCAATGTTGGAATTTTGTTGTCGTGTTGCCATATTTCAGATTGAACACGGAGGCCATTTCATCATAGAGAATCCTGCTTCATCAGCTCTTTGGTACACCCGATGTTTTCAACGTCTTTTGTCACAACATGGTGTTACCTATGGCACTCTTGATATGTGTTCATTTGGAATGAAAGAACCTAACGGCTATTATTACAACAAGCCAACTTCTCTTTTACACAATTTGATGAAGGAGTCTT